ACAAAGCTGAATTTACAAAACATATATACTGCCAGAAACCCAGCTTAATTGGCTTTCATGATTTAGTTTTTAAAAAATTGTGAGATTTCAAATTCTTACAGAAATCTTTAAATAGAAAATTGCGGACACCTGAAACGGGGCTCCATTTGCAATCACCCGCGTGGATAAATCTCCCATTTTACAGTTCTAAATCTATTTTTTATGACAACTAACCTTAAAATTCCGAATCCCTAGACATTCCCGCTTCCTTTTATATACATATCGTTTAATCACATCAACAGTTGACAAAAATACAGATGAAAACAAGAAGAGATCAAAAGTCGTCCATTTTCACTCGATTTTGCTGAAAGTAGTGCGGAAATGGCCGTCGCTTCAGTCAATGTGCACGCGCAGCTCGGAATCTCCGGACAGACTGAGTAGTGTTAGTTCATGGTAACAAGCGTCTGACATGTGCAGAGGAGTTTATTGTAATATATATTGTTCTTATTGTTACATTATTAAATCTAACTCTGTATCCAAGTAGTAGCTATACTGTACCAAGTCAGGTACTGATGATGTGCAGAGGTCATATATTCCAGAATAAGCCATCAGGGGCCTACCACTAATTTATAACTTTTATTTTTGTTAAATATGTTATTCATGAAAGAGTTCATGAAATATTATTTTAAGTTGTTAAATCGTGATCTTATTCTTTTTATATTCAAATAAATGAATAATTTGGGTAAAATTGGTCTTTTACTTCTTTTTTGCATTTTTCCTTTACTACAAGATTATTTAGGAACAGTTGCAGCATTAAAAATTAAAATAAATAGCAATCTGAAAGAAGAATTTTGCATAATTACTAAATGATGATAGGAATTTTGGATTTAGAGATTAATTAAATAGTGATATTGTCAGTCAATTTATGTAGAATCTAATAATATGATTGAAAATACTGATTGAATTCTTGGCCTTGCACTGGGCAGTTTTACATTTGTGCCAAGTGCTTTTTTTGGACTCCATTGTACAGTGGTAAAAGTTCTTCAGTTGCCATGAAAGTTTTTAATCAGACTCTGTATGGTGCTGCCATCTGCTGGTGCTATCGGCAACGAATTAGTTTGCCTTTGTTTCTGAGTGAATCTACCGTCTATAATCACTATTTCTGAAAATATTTGCGTTTTGCTGAGGGAAGGCTAGGCAATGCACGGCAAACTTCTTAGTACGTGTGTACAACAGAATTTTCTTAAAAACCCTAGTGATATTTGGTCAGGAGTTGCTTGAAGCATAGCACAGCGTTGCTGTCTATCGGCATCAGGTCGTTAGTTTGTCAATTATCACGAATTACCCACGAATCGCGAACCCATTCATTTTCCTATGGCAATCTAGCAACTCATGAAAAATGCACGCATGCGCAGTGGGCTAGGCGTGACGTCATGCAGTGCATTTCTGGGGATGCGTAAGAATTTAGATTGGTGTTGTTCTTGTCTTGGCCAGTAATACCTGCTCACTTCCTCTAATCACGGCAAATTTAAAGAGTATACTTTACAAAAGAAGGTAATGTCCCTCTATCAAAGCCTACTTTTGAAAATTTAAACCTCCATTCTTATATTTTGGTCATTTGTTACTGAAATTTATGTAGCACCGGTCAAGATGTTAACCTTTTTCAACCGGCAAGTTTCTATCCTTTGCTCAAGTGCTTATATTACCATTGTTCAACCAGCAGTGCATTTTCTATAATGCTATGGCATACAAAATTAATTTTAAAAAAGATAAGCCTAAAATCTTTATTATTGGAGAAGAGAAAACAACAAACAACCCACGTTTTTGTAATTGTTATTATTTTATAGAGAAAATGAATGTCCTTCAACATGTTCACAGAAACTTCAGATTACATGTAGTACAGGTAGTCTACTTATTATCAAAAATAGATTACTTCTTCAACAAATAATAGTGAACACAAATGGGCATCAATCAATCAACTAACTATTCAGTCTACAACGCATAATCATCATTTATATGTACGTATAAATAAGTGAATTACTTGACAGTATAATGATCAAAACTACAAACAAAAAATACTTATAACCATAATCTCTATAGGTTATCTATAGGTAGAAGTCATTTTAACTGACATGGGTATAATCTTCAACTAACAAAACTTACCATGAACACCATTTAACAACAAAGCTTTATTTCATATATATTTTAAGTATCAAAATCAAATTAACAATTCAGCATGCATTAAAACTGTTATGATATCCAACTTGGGAACTAGGAAGTTATATGCTTTATCTTACTACTACACATAAACTAGTACATTTTAACAAGAAGAACATGATATCCTTTTCTCTCCTCTGTCTAATATTAATTCGGTGAGCACATTAATAATAAAAGGTTTAATGTAAGTTTTATGTTAGTTTAATATATGTAAACATTTGTATTACCTGAGGCCTCTAGACAGTAAACTTTCCCATTGTTTTGATAAAAACTGGATGAAACTGATCCACACCATACGTGATATGCATGACGCAGGCCATGGTCCATTTTCGGCATTAGTATCCTCTTATTCTAGACGTAATTCAAGCATTGAGAGGTGACCCATACATCTTTGTCGTATCTCCTGAATGTCACACCTTTTTCTTGTCTTTGTAAGTGTCTATTGAACAACAACGCAGAGTGCATCTGCTGTTTGCTTCTTGCAATTCGCCTTCCTCCTACTTGAACCGGTCATTACCGGTTTCAAGAACTTAGTTTCGAATGCAAGGTTAATCAGCATTTCAACTTGGTATATAATTTCATCCGGGAATAAATTCATAGAAGATACCGGGCTTATTTTAGTAATTTAGGCACTGATTCACGTTGGAACTGATTTAAACAGTCTTTAATGAAAATCGAAACTCCGGGAAGCGAGATTTGACTGGTACGTTTTACGATGAAATAGCCTGAAAATAGGAAGATTTGCGTTGCTGGTGCATGCTTTTCAGGAAAAAGTCCACGCCGATTTTTCAATTAATATTAGGCCACATGCCTATATTCTCAGGAAATACCAATGATAATATATGAGGTGCTCTACCAGTGGAGATATTAGGCTATATGTAGGGTGGGTATCTGAAAGAAGCATCAATTGACCCCAAATGACCTCGATAGTTTGTAACCATAGCAACGAAATTATGATAAAATTTTCTGTTGTTATAAAGATTATTTATCAATCTTTCAAATATAGTAAAGGTCGAAGTAATGTACCGAACAAATCATGTGCATTTTGTAGAGCAAATTTGAGGGGAAATGCATCACTCACACAGCTGTAAGTTAAGCGGACTCTCCGCGTGAGGATTAAATATGCATGGGGCTGTATCTCGGTAAAAACGCAACGCAAAGCTTTACTATTTCACACATTTAATAAAGTCATAAAATTAAAGATGATTCACTGTGAGTAATATGAGTATATTCTGTGAGAACCCAACCTTGCCACTTTCTGGCTGATTTGTCTGGTGGTTAGAAAAACTTGCACTTAATACAATTTAATGTATTAACAAGATCAGGTTACAGGAAAAGAGATAAATATGTTAAAGTCATAATAACTCTCCGTTTTGGCCAAAAATTGGATTTTCCTGGCGTAAACGGCAATTTTCCCGTACTTACCAATGGTCAACGACCCCATTCCTGCATTCAAAGTTAGTCCAGGTTTTTTTTCCTAAACGCTTGGGTTTTTTTTTTGTTAAATTCTCTTAAGAGATTTTAACTGACGGAACCCTCTCTGACATGGCATAGTCACGCTATATTGAGCGGGGTTTTCTGATGACCTACTATAAAACCGCAGGAAAAGCAGACAACAACAACAGTTTATTACAATAAAATAAGATTCATACGATATAATCGTCTTATTGCTCAGAATGCATGTATATCTACCACCTGTGCAGTTCTGGGCTTTTAGGTATCCGACACACTGTACAAAAACTCGCAACTTACAGGTACGTCTGAGGATTGTGTAATGCGCCTACTATATCTTATCCCGCCACATGTTATTTTGGTCTCGAATGCACGCGAGAATCCCCGTGATGCGCCAACATCCTTGGCAACGGATGCCTTGACGACCGGGAAGAAAGGCACCGAAAGCCCTATTGACAAGCACAGTTTTTAGTTTTACTACAATAACAGCCGTTTTAGTGGTGAAATGCAATATAATTTATTTTCATGTGTTGTTTAGAATGTATTTCTTGCGGAATTTTGAATCTCAAAGGAAGAGTTATTATTGCTTTAAAGGCAATCAAATAATACATGCATTTATTTAACTCTTCAAGTGATCTTAATTACATCTTCTAAGTAAAATTATTTAAAACATTCGCATCCGTGCCTATTGTTTGCATACTTGTAGTGTCCAGCGCTTATTCGTATTCTGTGTTGAAATTTTGATATTTAATTGATGTAATAAGATGTATAACTTCTCACTGCTATAACACATCTTGTATCCACAGCTGGTAAATATCTGATAGTTACTTTCTCAATGTTTCTCATCCTAACACCCATTCCCTTCACTTTACGCCCTCTTTCAGCTTCTGTCCAGGAACAAAGCTCTCTCCCCCAACACCCGGTACGCTTTGACGGGCGTCGTGATGAGGTTGAAAAGATTACTCAAGCGTTCCTGAAGGGTGATCAGCTAGTCACCGTTCAAGCATCTCCTGGGCAAGGGAAGACAACCCTAGCTACGGTTATTGGTCACACATTTGTATCAACATTTGGAATCCGCTCCGTTATGGCGGACATGGGCAATGTTTCCACTGAATTAGATATTGTTTCATCATTGTTATTGGCTTTAAAATCAGATGCAGATTTAGATTCAGGGGAGTCTAACCAAGGGAAACTTCTCACAAAAGCTTGCCTGGAAATAACACAATTTGGCAAGAAGATATTGATAATTCTAGACAGTTGTGAGTTCGCTCTGGGTGGAAATACACGTGGTTTTTTCAAGGGTTTGCTGCACAAGTTGAACACAAACTGCAGAAATGCGTATGTATTATGCACGTCACGTAACACTATTTTCTTGCCAAACACGGAGACCCATTGCCACCAACTCGAACCATTGTCTGAATCAGCTTCAATTACCTTGCTCCAATGGTATTCCCCTACCCTGGACCGCGAAGAAGGGAAAATTATTGGTACGAAATGCGGATTTATGGCGCTATTGCTTCATATTTTGGGGTACCTTCTTGAAAAGGGGTGCAAGACCACCGATTTAGTTAAAGAACTTGAGTGTAGCAAAGACATTTTTGAAAAGGTACCTGAAATGAGAGATGTTTATGCTTGCGTCAACTTAACATATAAGCGGTTATGCTCCAAAGAACAGACTTCGTATCAACTTCTGTCAATATTTCCGACTACTTTCACGGCTGATGATGCATTTGCCTTGATAAGCAAAGAGTTCCGAGACATCACACCACTAGAGACCCATGGAATACTCCGGTCTCTGTGTAGCACCTCGATGATTGCATATGATAATGCGAGAGAAGTATATGTGATGCACAGCGTAATCAAGGACTTTGCTCAAAAAGAAATACTATCGGGAAACAAGGAGAGATTCAATCTACATTTTATGAATTTCATGGAACCTTACTTAGACGGCATGATTAGTATGAAAGGGTTAAACTATTTTGAAAAAGAAAGAGAACGGCTTACTAAATGTGTTAATATTTTCAATACCCTCCCATCTTCCTCAAAGCAGAAGCTCTACAGCAAAATAAAGGAGCTTGCAGTGTGTCTCTCTGACCTACACAGGTATGAGCACGCAACTCTTTGCTTTAATGCCCTGTTGGGACCCCCCAATAAAGCTGAGGAAGTGGTTAACAGTGCAGAGCTTGCTTTTGTATACAGTAAGATGGGTATTTTGCATTTGCGTGCCGGAGATATTCCAGCTGCCACCGAAAACCTGACAAAAGCAATTGAGGTATATGAATCACTTTCTGGTGAATTCAGTCACGTGGAATATCTAACCAGTGTCTTTAATTTGTGGGTTATATATATGAGCAATAAAAATAATTCAGAATCATCCATGTTGCTCATGAAGTGTATAGAAAAAGCTCAAAACAACGATTTCTTACGATCATTTGTCACACTGCTGATGCCCAAGCCTGAAGAAAGGGTTCAAGATATGGATTCTGTTGTGGGATGGTGTATGGATTCGTATATAAAGAGTGTTATGCCCTCAACTGATTCAAATGAATCGCTTCACGAGTGCATGCAGAGTGGCACTTCTGATGCACAGATTGAGCCAATGTTTGAAACATTGAACAATATATTTGTTAGGGATTTTACTTTAGAAGAAATAAAATTATTAAAGTTGAATATTTTGAAAAGAGCATCTGCTGTACCAAAGAAAATGGGGGGAATGGGAGGGGAAAATGTGAAACCCGGAAACGTAAACCTGTCTGAGATAGGTGATACCGTCACAAAAATGATACAAAAAGGAGAAGTTAAGAAGATATCAGAGGCAGTAGGTCCCAATAGTTCCCTTAGAATCAGAGATGAAGAATGCCCGATAAGTGGCAATAACAGTGAGCTGGATACATCAGAGAGGGCATTTGTAGAAAGTGTACTGACGATGACGGTATTACGACAGCTAGCTGTTGCTATGTCAGCACAAGGCCACCATGTAGACGCCCTCCGCATGTACCAAAGCGTTCTTCAAATAGATGAAGAAATCTTCGGTGAAAGTCCTAGGACAGCCAGAACACAACAATGCATAGGCAATCAATTCTTAATCTTGGGTGATACAGCGGGTGCAATTGATATGTTCCGAAGAGCAGTGTCTGTTGTTGAGAAGACACTAGGAGAAAACCACGAGGAGTCGGCAATCTCAAACCAATTGCTGGCGCACGCATTGGCAGCACAGGGAAACCACGCAGATGCCCTCGGTGTATTACAGAGAACTCTTCACATTAATGAGCAAGTGTTTGGGGATAGTGTCCATACAGCCGTTACACTACACTACATGGGACAGGAAAAGTTATATCTAGGTGATAAAGACGGTGCAGTTGATATTCTCATAAAAGCTATAGATATGTTGGAAAAAACACTGGGAGCAACCCATGAGGATACAGCAGAAACGATCAGTACGCTAGGTTGTGCCTTTTCAGCACAGGGAAATCATGCAGATGCTCTGAAAACATACCAGAGAGCACTTTGTATTCTTGAAGAAGTGACCGGTGAAGGTCCCATTACGGCTTCAACTCTAGTCCTCATAGGCAAGGAAATGTTAGCACTGGGCGATGCAGACGATGCAGCCAAAACTCTCAAAGAAGCTGTGGAAATGAGGGAGAAGACACTGGGAGAAATTCACGAAGACACAGCATGCTCGATGCACGAGCTGGCCTGTGCCATGTCAGAACAGGGGAACCACGAAGCTGCTGTCAGTACGTTTCAGAAGGCGGTTCGTATATATGAACAAGTGCTGGGTGAAAGTGCTAATACAGCTACAACATTGTGCGCCCTTGGCCACGAATTAAAGCACATAGGCAACATTAAGGAGAGCCTTGCCATCCAGCAACAAGCTCTGGACATACGTCTCCATCTACTGAATGACCATGAAGATACCCTGATGAGCCTTGAAACAGTTGCTGGTCTCCTGGACCTAAATCAGAAGCCCTCAGAGAGTGCAGAGATTAAGAACAAAGCCAGCAGCATGAAGGAAAGACTCTTAACCGCGGATTAAATCCAGGCAACCCATATAAAGGTAAAACCGAGAAGAAAATCCTGATTCAACAAAAAAGAGAAATTTTGATCTTGATTAGCACTTTAGATACAGTGTTTTACGTGTAAATAATATTACAGAACTATACCAGGTGAGGAGCAAAGTGATTTATGCAGTGATATGTGTGATCTGAAGATAAGGAACTTAAAGGGAACATAATATGAAATGACTTCCGAAGAAGAACGCAAGGCAGACGGTGAAATTAGACTTTACTGATATTATTACCGCCAGTGTGTGCGGTATGTTCTAGATTAAAGACAAAACAGCGTCCAGTGCACATTCCACGTCCAATATACGGGGTAGGGGGGTAGGTTTCCATCGTCATACATAGTTCATATTTTATTGTAGTTGCCTGTATATATTTAAAACACAAAAAAGAATTGCATGTATTGAAAAAGGAGGAATTGGAAACAGTGTGTAAATAATGTAAGAGAATATGATATCCCCAAAACGGTTGAATATTTTGTATTAGAAATGACAAATAAACCAGGGGAAGACACACAGTGGGTTATTATCATTGTATAATGAGCAAAATATGTTATCTGTCACATTCTTTTAAGTCCAAAACGCGTGAGCCCTTAAAATGCGTTTTACTATATTTATTTAAATATGTGTATATATGTTCAAGTATTTGTGTATAGACATGTATGAATAGTGCTAAACTTAGTTGATAGAGAAATTCAATGGACGCCCAGGTGTGAGGGAAATAAGATGATGCATAGAACAGTTCTTTACTGTACAGAGAAGCATCAGAAGCAGTCGCTAGTATTTTAGGTTGCCTTAGGACTTTATACATAGTATAGAATGCAAACTACACATGGATACCAGATAATATCATATTATTGTACGCGTATATGTGTTACATGAATGTACCGTTTGTGGACATTCTATAGTCCACCCACTCCCTTAGGAGCATAGGACAGGAGAATGACTTCGCCTGCGTGAACGGATATGGACTGGGAACTTGTTTTATTCAACTTCAGAGTGTTTAAATATTATGTTTTTAGTAGTTACTATCAAAAAGGATTGTTAATTTGTAAAAGACCATCGGTTACATTATTGTGAATCCACTGGCGTGAGAATTGGTTCAGGAAAGATTAGAACAGGTCTGTATATGCAGGTACTTGACCAGAGACTGATTGTGCACCAGTGTATAATTACTAGTTTTGTAAGGACACTAATTATGAAGTGATATTGGTATGACGGTAAAAAGTAAAACGTTGATACAAATGGTTTAATACTTGTGTAAATGGTGTTTTGATTGGTCTTGAAAGGCCATGTTAAAACTGTACAGTAGTAAATGAAGCAGAGCTACCATTCCATGATACTTTTATCCAAGTGACAAACTAAGATAGATAAATAGAAGAGAGAGGCTGACTTGTACATACAGTATGACGTTATGCAAGTACTAGTACATTCCACTAAAATGATACATCTATTTTATTAATATAGACATAGATGTAATGTTAAATGGTATCCAAGGCCGAGGCAAAACATAGGATACATATATAATTTTATATTCAAATATTGAGGACTGGTTATGAGTGACAAAACCAAAGCTGAAAACCTGCACTACAGATTGTAGAATGTTTGCGATATGCTGCTCTGCTACAAGTTCCAGACTGGACATTTTGCATGTACGGGGCAGTAGATGGCGCTGCAGGTGTTTAATGGCAACGGGATACTTCATTTGGTTAACCGACGTGCAGGTAAGACCAGCCATTTATAAAGTTATTCAGTTAAACAATTTGTTTGTCTTGTATAAGACTTGTCCGGCTATACAGGTATGTGTTTAACATGCATTCAGTTTATTCATCTGTGGGACATAATATATCAGACCACCCAGATTTTAATCTGAAAATAACAATTTTGAACATGTTTGTGGTGCCCAGCAATAATACTAATCCATTAATGGAATGACAGTCCATATTACAATATATCAAAATAATGAATCAAGCTTTTTCAAGTTTTGAATCAGAAGCTCACAATTATAAGTTCAGCTTCTTTTACAAATGTATGAAAACATTGTTTCTTTTAGGACCATATTTTCTGCTCTAGACTCTGAAGTTGCCAGTCCAGACGTTATGATGTAATGATTTGATGCCGTATGATATGATGTCGTCGGAGCTCTCCTAGATTTGGTAAGTATACTTCCACTTAAATGAAATCTTTGTTTCTTTCGAGTGAAGAAACGCTAGGTATATAGCACAAATATTCATAGCCCTCAATAGTACACACACTGGACAAAAGAAGTGTCACCCCCTAACTCAGAGTAAGAAAAGTAGGCAGATCTGGGGCACTTATGATGCCTGGTCTACTTATAATGTGACTAATGAGTATAAAACCGCTATACCATGGAATTGTATTGTTAGTCTTGTACATGTACAGCAAATGTTATTCCTGTCTTCCTCCAATATGGCAAGATACAGGCAATAGGGAACATCCGAGATAGCCTTTTTTGAACATCTGCGCAGCAGATGACGTCAAACGAGACCTGGATTGGAGCGAGATTTCACGAGAGGTGGGGTTAAAATCTGCCATTGAAACTTCTCTCGCGGTTGTGCACAAGTCTTATGTTATAGGATTGCATTGAGTAAAATTTGGCGTTGTCATGTAATTTGAGATAGAGCAACGCAATGGCGAATTGCTAATGTTGTGTCGTAGGGTGCATTGCAGTAAAACCTAACCGAGAAAACCAGGAAAATGACCATGGATGACAGACACGACTGGCGAGAGAAGTGAAGTAAAGAAAGAGAAGTAGTTGGGCTTGAACAGATTAAAAGGACTAAGTGCCGACATATTTAAAGTACAGATCAGGTCGCAGTATTTTGTAGGAAGAAAGGGACCAACTGCAGACAACTAGCACCCGACACGTCACTGGCTTCATGGCATCACCGTATACTGTAGACCGTATCATCAACGGTCGAGGGACATACTTATTAATAAGTAAGTTTTGTGTGTGTAGTTTACAGGACACCATGGTTTATTAACGTAATACAGCCCTAGTACTTGTGATTAACAGTCTTTTACGGTAACCAGGCCCGTAGCCAGCAATTTTAGAGGGGGGGGGGGTCGTTTTCTGAAAAAGTGGACCTTTTACCATAAAATCCTCAAGTAGGCCTACATAGGTCAAATTGTACCCAGAGTGGATCTTTTCCCAGCAAAAAGGGTGGTTCTTTCGAACCCCCCAAACCCCCCCCCCCCCCCCC